TATATATATATATATACATACATACATACATAAAACCTCTGAAGCTCCACTTGAAAACAAGTTTAAAGGTCTTGCATTTTTCATTGATTTTAGTGTCTTATCACTTGTTTTGTGTTATTTAGAAAGACGAGTAGATTTGGACATATTGACATCAATTGCAAATCTACTTCATTTCAACATTTTTACAACGAAGGACACCAGCAAATTTTAAGTATGTTTGTTAAAATTATTATTTGTTTTTAAATAAGGGGCAAATATACCATTTTTTTCTTCCCTCTGCACCCTTTTCATCCATTGTACTATTTGGATCATTTTGTTTTTATGAATGAAATAAATGAATAAAATCTTTAAAAATAAAAGTGAGTTATCTCATTAAGTTGAGTAAGAACATGCAAAAATGCAAATCATATTGTTGCAAAATGCAATGAAAAATGTATTTTAGCCTATGCAAATAATACAACATGTGTTGAGGAAACACGATTTGTTAAAATACTGATTTTCTTTGATAGCTTATTAGTATGAACCTGCTGAAAGAAAACTCGTTGTTTTTATGCTTTTAAAACTTTAAAGTAAAGCTTTAAAGAGATTTTAACAACTACTATTTAGCTACTAAAAATGACAGAACTACAAGTACCACAATTCAGTGAGGCAAGGCAGCCGGAAGTTACGAAATAACAGTCAAGACACATCCGGCCAGGAACAACAAATTTTCCGGCCTTTGATGCCGGCCTTCAAAATATGTGTCAGATGTCTGTAAAACACAAATTAGCTAAATATCGTACGCTAATTTTTGGGGGGGATTTTAAACATCTGAGCCATCTGAGTTTGCTTGTTTCCCCACCATAAATAAAAAGATTAAATCCAACTGCAAATGAATAAAGTGGCGTATTTAATGTAACGTGGGAGTTTTGTGGCAGTAAGCGATGCGGCTTTTATTATGAAATTTGCGAGACGGAAGTGCAGTTGTTGTCGATGCTGTCGTATCACAGGCGAATCAGAAAATCAATTAAGTTATGAAAAATATCGTTAATTGCCTTTCTTTGTCGCCGCAGCTCGTGAAGAAATGGCGGATCTCCAGATGTAGAACGCTTGAGGGAAAATGCCTGCCATCTAATGGACTGCTCACCGACGATATAAACCGTCTCAGTCGACAAGATTATTTACGTTGTGTAGGTAAGTTAGCCTGGTAGCTAACCAGTGAGTTCATATTAGCTAGTTAGTAATTAGCTATGCGGTTATATGTGCATTCTCTCTAATATTTACTAAAGATGGTAACTTTCAGTCATTACTTCATCATGTGGACATGTTTAAAATTATTGGACTTATCGTGCTGCGTTCGTGCAGTTACTAACATTTGTGTATTGTTTGTTATATATTTTTTAGTTTCATACTAAATGAAGACGTTTCATTTAAGCTTAATTTGCTCACCGTGTCGCATTTTTCGCAGACGAGCTAATTTGTGTTAGCCATTTTGCTAAAGTGGCTTAATGGCTTTTGTTTGCAGTGCATATGCGTTACCTTAAGAAATCCGTATTAAACGTAGGCCTTTTCTTTTCATTTCTTTCTTTTTCTCTTTTTGAAAGACTGCTTATTTTTTTCAAGATGGGCAGGTAATCAGACATCTTTAAATTTGGTGGTGCTTTTCATTATGAAGTATTCATACAGATTCAGTTTATTTAGATGATTCATTGTTGTTTTGGTGGCAAAAGCAGGAAGTGACTTACTTAAAATGACCAAATTATTATACTTTATTGTTGCATTAAAGTATAGCACTTTCTTCTATTCAAGTGATGCTTACAAAGTAGGGCTGCACAATATTAAGAAAACATACAATTCTGATATTTTTGTTGAAAGTTGTAATGAATTCAGTAAACTTGCATGTATTTATATTAATGTGTAGTGCAGCCCTAGTACAAGTTGATTTAAAACAAAAGTACTATAGCAGCTCAAATGACTCATTGCTGACTGTGGTAGAACTAATACTTTATGTTTAAACAAGTAATTCATGACATTCTGTTCATCTACAGATAGAGTGATTAACGTCAGAACAAGATTTGCTAACAACAGTCATTCTTAGATATCACTTGTGTTTATCTTTGTGTTTTCTGTTGACCTTGTATCAAATCTTGCTAAGATGACAGAATGTTTATATATATATATATATGAGGCCTCTCAAGACAGTGTTCAACAGGGTGCAACAGTAGTGTGGAGAGACTGACAGAGAGAAGCAGAGGCACAGAGACAGGCCAGGTTCTCTGTGTTTCCTGTTGTTGCAATAAAACTCAGCTGATCATCCCACGGAGTACCTTCATTCTTGGACCAGCGTATTTCTGTCTCTGTTGTTAAGTAAATATTTACGATAACACTGACTAAAAAACCAAGCCTGTTCTTGGATTTTACAAATATTTCTACATCTTTTTAAGAATATTTGTCTTTAGCGATTGTGTTTTCTGTCTTGTTTTTATGGAATGATTGACAAATATTTTCCGTACAGATGAAAACGAGCTGATGGTTGCGAAGGTCTGCGACAAGACGGACAAAAAGAGAGGCTGTCTGGAAGATGCCAAGAAAAAAACAACAGAATCCACAGCCTGTCAAGTGTAAGTGTTCGACTTAATGTCTTCCTCCTGTTAACGTTGAACATTTGAGGCATGAGCAATATATTCTGAAACAATCACATCTTGCATATTTTAGCACACAACACCACATGTTTTGGGGCTGATTACTTATTTGTCAGCACTGTCTCAGTTGGTTTACTGCTCACATCTGGACACCACTCGATGTAAAAAAAAAAAAAAGTAAAAATATTTCACTAACATAATGCCAAAGCAGCACAGTCAAAACTAGTAATGCGGTAATTTCACATTCTGCCTTTAGTGAAATATATTTTTTACTGCATTCACTTTAAAGTTTATAAAATAAAGTGCATTAGTTGTAGATTGGAAATCTGTGGATTCGGTGTTACTTTTTTGATTGCTTGAATGAAAATTAATTATTAGATGCATCATATTTGTTCAGTGATTCCCAACCCTATTTTCCTTCAAAGCCCCTCTTTTTTTTATTTCCCAACCAAGCTGAGCCCCCACCTAGCTACTCTCCACCTCTCCCAAAAATGCATTCAAATTTTATATTGTCTAAATAAATAAATAAAATAAAGTGAATAGCTACAAATGTTTACTTGGGGAAAAAAATTAAACTGAGTTATACAGGGTTTTAATTATTCAAATAGACTTGTTTTTGTGATGTTTTTATTGTGTTTTCTGCCCCCAATATAGATGTTTATTGATTCATGTACATGTATGATATGCTGCTGGTAATAAAGTAATAATACTGATAATAAATAAGTAACAATAATTTTAAATGATCAAAGATGGATCCAGTAATTTTGGCTTTATTTTTACAGATCAGCATATCCTAAAACAATAATTTGATATTATGAAATATGACAACACACTCTTAAAGGGATATACAATATAAATA